GAAGAAGAAGAAGAAGAAGAAGAAGAAGAAGAAGAAGAAGAAGAAGATCCTCAATCTTTTCAGTCTGTGTGAGCAATATTCAGATGGAAGCTGAGTAAAACAGAAGACACTGCCTCAAAGGTGGCTTTGAAACCAAAACACGAGTCTATTGAGATCATGGTCCCAAATTTTAGCACAGTCATTAAAAAAAAAAGAGCTAAAGGAAGTGAAATAGTTTTGGAGGAACATAAAATGATGAAGCTGTTACTACTGTTTACGTCACAGTTGCAAAGATGGTGTTGTAACCATTGAGTAGCTTGTGCCAAATGGTGTCCACCAGTCAGATGTGAAAGACTGAGATTACACATAAATTCCAGTTTAGAAGATGACGAAGGTAATGGTGAAGATAGAACATAGAATAATATAGTTTCAAGGAATCTATCTATCTTCTATCCCCCACAATTTTCCACTGTAACTTCAGAACTTACATCTCAGATTCACATAAACTAGAGATAGCAGTGACTTTTAGTTTCATAACGGTCACAAAACAATTCTCGGCTGAGAAATCTTAATTTTCTCCCTATTACCCTGTAGCCAATTAGTGCTGCCATTGAGCTGAATGATAGGTCTTGGAATTTTTAAAAAACAAATAGCAAAACAGAGATAGCAAGACTTTCCCAGACATCCTTCATAATTTAATTGCCATGTTATGCCACTGAGATATAATGAGACTTATCAGTTACATTCAAAGCTTTTGATTTCACTATTAACTAAAATGTGAGATTAAAAAAGAAATGGAATGTCTATTTATAGGTCAGGTAGGAGGGAGTTGAAGCAATACTTGGACAGTGGAAGGCATTTGAAGACAGAGAAGGAAGCAAATGGCTTTCTCTCAAATGAATTTCTCCAGGAGATGGAAAAAAATTACTTCTCAATAATAAATTCTCAAGAACAGGATCTCTAAGGGATGATCGTAAGACTGGGATCATGGGAAGACTTGCTCCCAAGCGAAGGAGAGGATGATCACATACAAACCACTACTTCATCTCAAAAACTCATGAACACCAGTCTATCATGGGCATCATTTTCTTCTTTGAAATAATTCTGAAAACTCTTTCTCCTTAATCAATCTGAATGAGAAAAGGAATATAGGAGATCTGATCTGACCAGTAGAACTTCATCTTATCCCATCAGTTTCTTGAATTATTCTTTAACATGTTGGCTCTCTGAAGGATTTTTCGAGAGGGTGGATGAGATCCCAGTGTTGCTAATAACAAAATAACAGAGTTGGAAGGAATTTTGGAGATCTGGCTCAAACAAGAGGCCTTATGCCATTTCAGACAATTGGTTGTCCAATCTCTTCTTAAAGCCTCCAGTGATAGAACACCTCAACTTCTGAAGGCAAGTCGTTCCACTGTTTATCCCAAAGGTGCTTTTTCAAGAGGCAACTGGTTTTTCTTTGAAGACATTTCACTTCTCACCCTTGAAAAAGCACCTTTGGGACAACCGTGACCTGGATGACTGAGAATCTCCATAGATGTTCCACTGGTTAATTGTTCTGTCAGGAAATATCTCCTTAGTTCTATAATGCTTCTCTTCTTGATTAGTTTCCAGCCATTGCTTCTTGTCCTGCTTTCGTGTGCTTTGGAGAATAGGTTGAGTGTGGTCATAAGTATCTCAACCAATGGACATTTTTAGGAAAGTAGATGGAAATGAATCGAATTCACACCTGTGTGGAAAGGAACTAAGCTACCTGCCAGGAAAGGTTGAAAAGGAACCCAATCCATTGATGAACGTGTTCCGTAGTTTTCAACTATAAATCTGGAGTTTGAGAGCAAGCACATACTTTGTATCAAATTAATATTCTCACTTGCATCTGTGTTTACCTAATTAGTTTGGAGACAGAGATGTGCTAATGAGAAACATTTATAAGAAAGAAAGGTCTGCTGAAGAGTATGCTAAGACAAATTTTAAATGAGTTACCCATTTGTTTACGGGGCAAAGCTGGCATAATTAATGTGGGGAAGCCAACAGGGGAAACGAGCGGGGAGGGATTCTCCTGGGCAACCAAGCATTTTGTACATTCAAGTGAAAGTAAAGTTCTTTGTACATTTCCATTCCACCCCTTTTTCTGCTGAAGGTTCCAATCCAAAATCATCACCGTCATTCGAGCCATTGTCTACCCACTGAACAATGAAGACCTCTTCCCTAAAGTTTCCAACCAAAACGGTCTTTCACCAGTTGAGCCCACCATATTGGCTGATGTCGTCCCTCCATCTTGTTTTAGGTCTCTTTTGTGGATGCTTTCGACCAAGTGGGATCTGTGACTGCCCTCCGTTCTTCTTGCTAGGTGACCAGACCGTTTCCATTTCAACGTATGCCAGCAAAATATGGAGACTAACCTCACAGTCGGGGCAAAAGCTACAAGGGGCGCAAAGAGCCATGGAAAGATACATGCTTGGCATCGCAAGACAAGACAGAAAGATCCACACTGGGATCAGAGAACAAAACAAAAATAAATGATGCCATCAAAAGAATGAAAGATTGAAATGGAAATTGGCAACATAAAATATCTCAGGAAAAGAAAATAGATTGAGTTGACTTTCTTGAGGGTGGTAGATGAAATTACTACCCTTGTTAGCTTTTTGTTACCTCAGCTTGTTTTTATTTATTAGGAGATTCCTCCCAATAAATTTCTCCCAGGTTTTTACTACTTCCTTCCATAGTTTTTATAGTAAAAACTAAGAGTAGAGTAGAATAGAATAGAATAGAATAGAATAGAATAGAATAGTTGGAAGGGACTTTTGAGGTCTTCTAGCCCAACCTCCTGCTTAGACAGGAAACTCTATACCATTTCAGACAAAATCTCTTCTTAAAAACTTCCAGTGTTGGAGCATTTACAACTTCTGGAAACAAGTTTTACCACTATAGAACAAATTTATCAATGAATTTGACTCCTTTTCAACTGGTCCTGGCAGTTGAAAAAGGTCTATCGATCAGACCTTTGTTTATATTTATCCCACCTTTATTTTATGAATCACTCAAGGTGACGAACGTACATAATAGCCTTCATCCACCTATTTTCCCCACAAGAACAACTCTATTAGGTGAGAATGTGTGATTGGCCCAACGTAGCTGTCTTGTGAGTCCTTCTTGAGAAGTTTCCTCCGACTGCTTAAGAAATGATAACATTTTCCACTTGTTTAAGGAGAAGGAGGAGTTGGGATCTCCCAGAGCTCCTTCAGACCTGAAGCAAGATTCAGCAAGTGTGGAGACCTTTGAAGCCTTTAAACCAAGTCAGGATTGAACCTTTTCCCACTTCAGAGTCTTTCCCTCTACCCTATGCTCCATTATTCCTTACAACACATTTTAAAACCTCTCCCAAATGAAGCTCGGTTCCTGGTGAGTTCATGGGTACATTCAGCAATACAGAAATTGCTTCTCCCTCCCACCCCCCAAGTGTTTCCTACCTGCCATTCGCTTCTTCCAGGAGGTGTCCCGTCAAGTACTAATTATCTCCAACCTTGCTAAGCTTCTGAGCTCAGACAGGGTTGGTGAAGTGTTGCAACCTGCAGTGACAGAGAAGCGTTCACCGTGCAACACACCAAGTCATTAACATCACTGGTTTCTCTTGGCAAACACATCCAGTCTTTAGAAGTCCCTTCCAATGGAACATGTCTTCAGAGACAATTACTATGGCAACATTTGGGACACACGTCTACCAGAGCAAACCAGATGCTTTGCAGAAAGCTTACACCTGGTTGTTGTTGGGTTTTTTTTAGGATTGCTGCTGTTGTTTTTACATAAAATGCAACTTGTTTTACAAGAGTCCGTTTTATGAGAATCTCCTTCTATTATGCCAAGGCAGGATTTCATACTCCAATCTGTTTCCCGGGGCAGATGGATCTTAAAGCATTCATTTTTGGATTTCATTTAGGACATGAGCAATATGAGTCTGTCTTCTATCCAAAATGAACTGCATTAGATGTGGAAACTTAGATGTATTTTTCTAACTCTTTAATGCCTTTGAGGATGCATTCTTTGGCAGAACGAAGTTTTTATTTTTATTTTAAATCCACTTTCTTGGAATGTATTCCTGGGGTTTTATAAAAATCATTTGTGGGTGCTAATTATGTATTTATTTCTGAATAGTACATCTATCTATCTATCTATCTATCTATCTATCTATCTATCTATCTATCTATCTATCTATCTATCTATCTCTCTATCATCTATCTCTCTATCATCTCTATCTATCTATCTATCTATCTATCTATCTATCTATCTATCTATCTATTATCTATTATTTATCTATCATCATCTATCCATCTGGATAAACATTTGTCTGAAATGATGTAGGGTTTCCTGATGAAGCAGGGGGTTGGACTAGAAGACCTCCAAGGACCCTTGAAACTATATTGTTCTATGTTCTATTTTTGTCATTGCCATCATCTATTAGATGATGATGAAGATAGATAGATAGATAGATAGATAGATAGATAGATAGATAGATAGATGCTAGATAGTTAGATGCTAGATAGATAGATAGATAGATAGATAGATAGATAGATAGATAGATAG